TTTTTTTTTTTTTTTTTTTTTTAAGGGGGGGGGCAATCCTTGTGGGCACCACACGGAGGTATTTCCCTACTTTTCTTCGCAGGTCCCAAGGTCTCTTGATGCAACAAAGCAGTTTCCCCAAACCAAACCAAAAGGGAGAGGGGCACTTTATGGGGAGGAACGAATCAATAAAAACAATTATAATTAATTTTAAGCAAAAGGTGATGTTTAAAACACCGTTGTTTGGGGGTCTTGCATTCAGCTGCCCCCGCGTACAATCAGCACCGTGCCCTCCAACGCTTTCAGTTTTACTGTAGGACAGGCGCGCATTTGAACTTTGATTATTGGCAATTAACCAATAGCAATTAAGAAGGACTTGTCTATTTTGGTCCAAGTTCTTTTTCGTTGCGATGACGGTAGCATATGTGAAACACTTATAATTTGGATGAAAGGTTGAAGTTTCGAAAACAACTTCCTTTCTTTCAAAGAATTTCACACGCCCGCATTTCTTGAAGAGGCAAAGTCTTAGTCGCTTGCCTGTTTGCAGTTATTCCTGCAAGAAACAGTAAAAGGCGGCGTTGTGGTCTAGGGTCAGAGCGTGGGTACAGCGAGCAAATCGCAAACCCGTTTGGAAATCTTGGAAGGAGGAAATGGGGGAAATGGAAAATGAACATTTAGCTGGATTCCTGTAGTAAAACTTTATGCGCCTTTAAGCTCAGAAGCTAAGAAGCCTCGAGGTTTTAATGTAATACAGCCGCCGCCGCGAGAGAGAGGCAGGAAAGTCAGCACAGAGGTTGCAAGGAAGGGGAAATAATTCCTCACCTTGTAGATCGAAATGCATAAAAACCATCTGCTTGAGCACAATGAAATCATTAGGCAGTGACCAATTCAGGAGTTGCGTTGAATGCTTTCGCCTTCCAGACAGGAAATGTGCAGAGAAGGGATTGTTGCAATAAATTCAAACAACTCGAGTCATCCGCACGTTTGATGAGCTTTGGTATTTTTAAAAAGAAAACCAACCCTGAACCGACTATAGAAATCGGGACAGAGGGAGACATCCTCCCCCGCACTTGTTTCCTGGAAGGGACGAAAATTTCGTTTTCTTCGCAATGCGCTGAACTGATTTTGCACTGAACTTTACTGGCGCAAAGCTACTGGGATTTCTGGTTATTAAAAACCAGAACCCAACGACAAGGCACGGCAGGGTGAATTCATTGCGAGGAATTCCTTTTGATTTCCTGTATCTCCCAAATGTACTTTTGGGACCCTTGTCTTTTTCTTTTTTGTTGTATTTAGTGAAACGGGGAGGTTGGGAACTTTCTTTTTTCTTCTATTGTTTTAAATTATATAAATCAGTTCTCTTTTTTTGTGCTCAGGCTAGTAACCCGGAAAGGACACCTGTTTTAATTTGCAGCTGGAAAAAGTAAGATAAGGGTAGGATTCTTTTCCCTCTATGAAATGTGAATCATGATGTGTTTTTGTTTCTGTGGATAACTGGAGATTTTGGGGAATAGTCAGGTAAGATCCAAATCAGTTGTATATTTTTTCCTTAATCAGGAAAGCAGTTTTGAGTAGTCCCCCCCCCCCCCAATAACTCCCGTGAAAAATTCGAAAAATTCTATATTTTTCT